TAATTATGTAAACGCTAATACAGACAGGATTTGAAGTTGCAATTATCTTTGTTGTTGAACTTCCTTGCACATTAGAGGCTCTGTGGTACAAGAGTTAAGTATGCTTGTGATTGCAGAATGGAGGCTTAGCTATCCAGGGAAGATATGTGGACTAAATAAATGGAAAAAAGCCATCAGAGACACTAAGAAAGCATACTTCAAAAGCCTTTATTAATAACTGCTCAGAAATCCTAATCTTATTACTTACTAGTACAAGCAGCATTTTAAGATACATATTCTCCCTTCCACTTCCCAAAGTCAGTGGGTGGCTACATCTTATAAATGCTTTGAGTGCTTTCAGAGGGAGGGTTCTACATCAATGCATACTGTTGCTACTGCAAGTAATGTTGAAATATGGGATACATAACTTTTACATCCTGGGTCTTTCGAGACAAATACAAGATAAGACGATAAAATAAGAAATCTTTGCAAAACTAGTACTTCCAATGGAGGCCAGAGTCTTTCCAAGTAACAAAGTAACCCTGGAGAAGCAACTTTTATTCTCACCCAAACTGGAATAGAAACAGTCCTGGATGTCCTCTTTAACTATGCCTGATTTCTTTTTGAAGGGATTTAAAAAAAAAAAAAAAAAAAAAAAAAAAAAAAAAAAAAAAAAAAAAAAAAAAAAAAAAAAAAACCAAAAAAAAAAAATAGTCTTTCCATAATGCTGTGGTCTTTATTTCCAGTTTGTCCCTGCAGTAACACTGAAGTTACTCCAGGCTACATGTGACTGCAGCCTGCAAGCAGTAATTGTGCACTTCCCATGAGGGTTACCTATGCCAGCAGCCTCCTACACCCAGGCAGAAAAGTCCACATATTTTCCTGACTGCTCTGAGCATCAGACACAACCCTTTGCCTCTTGCTGTTACTTTTGAATCACACTCCTGCAGATCTAGTTGTTATTCTGGACTAAAACCCCTGCAATTTTCACTTTTTTTGCACTCTCAATGTAGCAGGTAAGTAAAATGTTATTTTATAAACTCATCATTTCAGACAGATTTTGATTTGTTGAGCATTTTTCTGAATGTTAGTGCACTGATTCTGTTCACATCACATGGAGAAATCTTTATATGGTAAAACATACTTTGATTTCTTATACAAAATTAAATTTGCAAACCTGGAGTTGATATTGAAAGATTTACTTTAGATTACACTGATAAAATACAGTTCATAAAATGAAGATGTTTTCAAAATCTAAGGAATAACCAAAACTAACTAAAAAGTTAGGAACTAAGGAAGAAAAATAACTAAGGAATAAAAAAACTAACTAATCTTCCACTTCTTACCTATGTTAATTTTTTGAAAGTGAGTCAACCAGCTATTGTATAAGCAGGTTACAGAATTTCCTTTGTTGTTGCTAGAAAAATTTAAATCATTTAACAATAACTTTTGTGTTTAGAGTTATGCATATTTAACTTTTAGATAAATGTTTTCTTAAACTTCCCTGTACAGAAATTAGTGAGCTAGGACATGTTCAGATTATAGTATAGTATGAAGTACTGCATTCTTTTTTGCTTCTAGCTAGTCTCAGATAATTCTGTCATTCCTTCAGCTTTGCTGATAACACACTTATATCACTTAGAAGCAGCAAAGTCAAGTCACTCCTATTAACTGTTACCTGGTTTTCTTGTACCACAAACTGGGAAAATAAGAAGAGTTATTTACAGTGCTCATTTTTTATTTCAAGAGCATTGTATCCTAAGGGTCTGCACTTCAGTATGATAAAAATGGGACGAGGAATTACATACAAATACTTAATGCAATTTTTAAAACTTGTAGCAGCTCTAGTTTGATTTACTGATCCCAGCTGCCTAAAAGCTTGACAGATTTACCAAACTGGTGATTTTCTTCTCAGTACTGGTAAATCCTGTTGCATGCTGAGAGCCAGTATGAACTAAGTTCTCATGAAACCCCAAATATCTACTGTAGAATTCAAAGGAAAGGACTTTGGACAATATATTGACTTTGCAATGCATAGAACAAATTCTGAAAATTTTTGGTACAGTTTTGATCAACACAGACATAATTTGATGATTATTTACTTAAAAATGAGGACTAACTGTGGCCATCAGAACACTGTAGTACAGGTTACTTCAGCTACTCTTCTCACAAGGAACATATGTTATTAACACTCTCTACTTTGTATTTACTATCACTACATTCTCAGAATTTGAGCCCCTAAATGTCCACATAAATTTAGCTGCTTGCAAAACAGTCCTTCTCTCCTTAGGATTCAGAAAGTTCAGATTACCCAATGTATCTTTTATAAGAAGTGAATGTCCACGTGATGGATGTTCCTGGCAAGCTTTAAGAGGCCTGTGCACTTCTATAGTAGTTCACCACTATGCTGTGATAAGTTACCATTAGGAATTACTGTAGGAGCATGGTTTTTTCTACTTTGAATTTGGCAATGTTCCAAATACAACAGACCTTTATTAGTATTCTTGAGAAGTAGGTAGATACAGTAGAGAACTCCAGGAAAGTAGAACTCTTTCATTCATATTTTATGGTACCCTTCTCTAAAACTAGGCAGGGAAATTAAGTAGATGATAAAGCTTTACTGAATTCCAAAAATTCAGTATCAATCAATTAGTCAAACCAGAGTCTCAGAAAGACACTGAAAATACTCCCCAAAAGCCATAAAATATACCAAATTCCATTTTTAAAAGTATTTAAAATATGGGATCTGGAAAATTCTTTAGGGACTTAGAAATACTTAGTGGGTTTTCTGGAGGGTATTCTTGAGGTTTTTTGCCTTTTAATTCTGGAATGTTCATCATTCACCACTGTATTTTAATTTCACCTATTATTAAGTATAATAAATATCAGAAGACATTTACATTCCATTGTCTCCTATTTCAGCTATGTGAATATATTCTGGAGTCCCATGAAACCATACAGGGTTTTTTATATAACTACATCAGAGCTTCAACTTATATATTCTGACAACATTAGAAAAAAAATAACTTTAAATGCTATGGAAAATCACCCATGCCACCTACGGCAAATCTTCTTCAAAGAAACAGCAGCATCAGAATAAATTTCCCAAGACGTATCTACATCATTAAGTGATGGAGATTAATATGAAACTCCTTTATGTTATTAAAGAAATAATAAGTGAAAAAATATTTTTTTTTGTCTGTGACTAGGACAGACTGGAAGGGAAATCCTCATTCAACTCAAACAAAAAGGATCCAGATATTTAACTGGATCTACAACTTAACTTAAACACATCTTAGGTGAATACTGAAGCATTCACAATGTGATGACATTGAGTCAACCATTTGGTTGAGTTTTATCCAGTTATGTCTCCAGTTGACTACTAACATGAATTATATCTGCACAAGTCACATGAATCACACCAAGAGGAAGTCTGAATGTAATTGTCTTCTTCATACTGCCTATAGGCTCCTGTGTTTGCACAATTCAATTAGTTTTCCCCAGATCTTTTTCTTCTCCCTGCAGCAGCACCTGCAAAGTGCACTGCTGCCTGTACAGCTCTGGTAGTGCATCCTCATGGTTTTTTAGCCTGAGACTGAGTAGAAGAGAACTCCTGACAAGACTTCCTGCAAATAGACAGATAAAAATTTGTTATTAGATGACATCACACCAGTCTGACATGGCTTTTTCCAAAACTCAAAGATATGCATTGTGAAAAAACCCTGTCAAACAGAGAAGTATGTTTCCTCTGCTTCGTAGTAATTAAGATGGCTAAAATTGTGATAATCTGGTTACAAAAGTCGTCAGGTGTGCATTGTAGGTGGGGTAGCCCATTGCTCTTCATGTTAGCAAAACCTCAAGGATTGCTGTGACGGAGCAGTTAAAGTTTTAATTCTGGAAACCAGAGTAGTAATTGTGCTAATGTTTCCAGGGTCAAAGTGACCACTAGTATTTTTGGGTTTGTTCATTTGGACCTCCTAAGAACTCTTATCTGAATGAAGCATTTTTTCCCTGCTTCACAATTAATTAGCCAAAAAAAGGAAAATATTCATGCAAATTCAATTACTTTAGTGCAATCATATGGGTATTACAGCAAAATACATATTCGGTCACAGGGTACCTTACGGGAATCATTGTGGTCTGTTAGTAATTTGAGGACTGGTCTGTTTCAGTAATAGCCTAATAACTTTGAAGGTTCTGGTCTTTGTTAAGAATTTAATAGGCATGTGAAATACAGCCAGTTTCAAATCTCAATTACATAGAGACTGATAATAGTTAAAAAAATTAAAAAAAAAAAAGGGGGGGGAAGTAAAAGGCATTCATCATTCATAATGTTATTTGAAATGCTATGCATGAGAAAATTTCATGCAGACTGGGAGACTTAATGTACTTTCTTGTTTGATTCATATTAAAAAATATGAAGGGAGCACATGTGCTCTCCTGAAGCCACCAGGCAGAACAGCTCTCATAGGTCTGCAAATGTTACTCCATTTTGCAGTAAAACTTCAGCACTGGTCAGCAGCACCACTGCACTGGATCCTGGAAGAGCTTTAAAAATGTTGCTGAGTCATATATATGTACATGATAATAGCAAGAATACTTGGTATCTATGAGCATTTCCACAATTTCCACAGTTCTGCCCCTCTCTTCAGCCTTGATGAGACCTCACCTCGAGTGCTGTGTACAGTTCTGTGCTCCTCAGTACAAGAGTGGCATGGAGCTCCTGGACAGAGCCCAGTAAAGGGTTATGAAGGTGATTAAGGGTCTGGAACAACTCTCTTATGAGAAAAGGCTGAGAAACTAGGTGTGTCTAGCCTGGAGAAGAGACAACTGAGAGAGTAACACAATCAATGTACACAAGTATCTGAAGGGAAGGTGTCAAGAGGACAGAGCCAGGTTCTGTTCAGTGGTGCCAAGCAACAGGCAATAGGCAGAAACCGAAACACAGGAAGTTCCAACCGAACATAAGGAAGGACTTCATTACTGTGAAGGTGACTGCGCAGTGGTTCAGTTTCCCTCACTGGAGACATTCAAAAGCCACCTGGACAGAATCCTAATCTGCTTGAGCCGTGGAGCTGGAGTAGACAATGCCACTGGGGTCACTTCCAGCCTTACCATCCTGTGATCCTGTGATTTAAAAGTATGACTGGAGCAATTCTAAAAGCAATACTAAAATAGAGTTAGCCGCGGCATGGTTGGTGCCCTAATTAAAATTTAAATGCAGATCTTTATGAGCAGAAGGTAGAACAGCAATCAACACCACGCTTTAACACAGACGGCAGAAATTACTGTTTCTATTAAATTCGCGTGTGTTGCTGAGGGGCAAACGGTGAATACCGTGCTGGGGATCGCTGGGCAGGAAACGCCCGACCAGAGAGAAGCCTTAGACAAAGAGGGTCTAGGAGATGATCAGGTAACTTCACCACAAGGTTCGACTGCGGAGAATAAAAGTAGGGCACACGACACGAGTGTCGCGGGTTCCCAGAGAAGAGGAGCAGGATTACGGTCCCGGGCAGCCACACGGGGCGCTCGTGCCAGGGCAGGAGGAGGTACTTTGGCCGCTCTCCCGACAGCCGCGCCGGGGCCGCCCCGCGCCTGGAGCCGCGGGCGGGCCCGCACCCGCCTCCCACCGCCGGGGCCGGGGCCGAGAGCAAGCCGGGCCGGCAGCACAGGAGAGCGGAGGAGCTGCGGCAGAGCGGGCCGAGGCCGCCATGGTGCTGGTGGTGGTGATGGGAGTGAGCGGCTCGGGAAAGTAGGTAGCAGGCAGGAGGGGGGGAGACCGGCAGATGCCCCGGCCGGGGCTCGGCACTGCTGGAGCCCGCCCGTGCGGGTGCGGCTGCGGGTGCGGGTGCGGCTGCGGGTGCAGCTGCGGGTGCGGGGGGTGCGCAGCTCACGGCGGGGATGTGTAACCGGCCCTTCGTGCTTCCCCGCAGGACCACGGTGGGATCCCGCCTGGCAGCCAAGGTAGGACCATTCATCTCCGCCTACGGGCCGCCCTCCGCGGGGCCGGGTCTGGGCGGGCGGCACCGCCCTGCGCCGGGCGGGAGATCCCGGCCCGCCTCCGCCCGGGCTGCCGCGCCCCGAAGCAGGCTTGGGTGGCGCTCTCTGGCGCGGTGTCGCCGGCACTGATTGCAGTTCAGTGCCGTGATGCAACAGCTGTTGCTGCTACCAAGCCGACTTAGTATTGTTTTGCTAATCATCATGGCATAAACGATGATTCACACTGTGATGTAAGAAGCCTGTAATTTCTTAAGTGTCTTCTTTGTGAATTCTGTGATCGTTGTTACCTCACCTGATATGGCTGAACGACACATAATGTATTTTTTTTTTCTTTTCTTAGCTGGGATGGAAATTCTATGATGCAGACGATTATCATCCTCCAGAGAATAAAAAGAAAATGGCAGGAGGGATACCACTAAATGATGAGGTACCTTGTATAAACCCTGTAAGGACTCTTATCCACACGTTTATCTCTGTAACCACGTGCACGTCCTATTAAAGTAGATTGTGCTTTTACTATGTAGACTGGTCTGAGAAGCACAGGTCTGCATTTGGTAAAGCAGGGGAGGCTTCTTGTGTTACAAAGGATTCTGGCTGAACAAATAGTTTATCAAAGCATGCTTGGCAGATCACAAGGGGTATGCTGCTGTTTCAGAATTTGTCAGAAATCTCTCCCTCTACATCCATGCACGGAGATGCATTTGTGGATTAGAATCATAGAATCTTAGAATATCCTTAGTAGGAAGGGACCACAAGAATCATAGAGTTCCTGGCCCTGCAAGACAACTCCATAAATGTGTTACCCTTCTTTCAAGTCACTTCCCACCATTTATCATCACTCTTGGTTGACTGGAGAGGTCCCATATGATTGAAGGTTAGCTAATGTGATACCCAGCTGAAGGAAGGGCCAGAAGGAGGATCCAGGGAGTTGCAGGCCTGTAAGTCTGGCCTCAGTGTTGGGTAAGGTTGTGGAACAGATTATCTTTAGTGCAATCACAGGACATATGCAGGACAATCAGATGTTCAGATCCAGCCAGCATGGGTTTAGGAAAGACAGGTCCTGCTTGAGCAACCTGATTTCCTTCTATGACCCACCTAGTAGATGGGGGAGGGAAAGGTTGTGGGTATTGTCTACCTGGATTTTAGTAAAGCCTCTGATATCACTTCCCAAGTATTCTCCTGGAGAAACTGGCTTCCCATGTCTTGGATGGGTGTGCTGTTTGCTGGGTTAACAACTGGCTGGATTTATCTGAAAAAAATTCTCTAGAATCTTTTTAAAAGCTTCATTCTTTCACTGGTGTTTGGAAGCCAGTATGTTGTCTGAAGCAGCATCGCACACTTGAACGAGTAAACCATTGGTGCGTGCTGCTCAGCAACAGGGAAGCATCTCTTCTGAAAAACTAGAGGTGCAAAACTTCTTGAATGCCAGGCATAAATTACTCTGTAACAAAATATTGTTGCATTTATTTGTCCATGTTATCATTTGTTGTGCTCACCCAGTAGTAACAGCACTGAAAGATTAAATGGGAGCAGTTGTTTTGTGCTCATTAGGCATGACAAAAGTTTTTGGAAGCTTAAAATTTCAGATTAAAGAAACAGCTGATCAATCATTCACACTGTGATTGCCTAACTACTGAGCAAAACTGTTGAGAAATTGTGGCTATGATTACATTTATTTGTGATTGCTACCAACATAAATAGAACTAAGTTATTGCAGATAATTAAATTTAGATCTGTCTGTTCCTGAAAACCTCAACTTTGGTCCAAAATGGAGGGGGGGGAGGGGGTTTATGACACTATATAAGGGAAAAGAAATAACAATTTAAGCTGTATATTTGAATTGTATAATAGAAGCAAGAGAGAAGTTGACTGTCCTCTAGAGGTTTGCAAGGTGCATGCTATGCTTGAATACATATTAACTTCCATTACTAGCCTTTAGGCAGTGGTAGCAAATCTACACAGGAAGAAAGAGATTTAAAACTGGACTTGCTGTACAGTTTAATGCTAATTTTCGTCTCTAGTCAAATGTTTGAGATGTTAGAAGCAATCACTTCAAATTAATTTCATAAAGAATTTTGAACTAACTTGTTTTCTTTCTAGGACAGGATTCCTTGGCTTTGTACACTGCACAATATACTAAGGAGGTAAGAGAGTATCTAGCTTTAAAAAGTTTTAGCTAAAGACAGAAAAAGTACCAGAAGTGTTTTTCCCCATTGCATTCCAAAGCAGAAATGTATGTAGTAGTGTAAAGACATTCTGCAGATAGTAAAGTCATTCTGTTTTGACTAATCTAAGCTGTCATAAGAATTGCTGAGGGTGAGCTAATCCCTGAGTAATAGTGTGGGAAATTGTTGCCAATGATAGTTGTTTTTCTACCATCTGGGTAAAAATAATTTCAAGGATCCAGTTCATTCATAAGCCTGGCTTTAGCTAATTACAAATAACATAATCACAAAATACACTGGTAATAACAATAGAATAAAATACAGCTATTTTGAGTAAGATACAGTATCGAGCTTTTTTGACACTGCTTGAGTTCGCTGGAGTATACTCTGCAAATTTGCAGATGACACCAAAATGGGAGGAGTAACTGATGCAAAGGGACCTTGAAAGGCTGTAGAAATGGGCTGGCAGGAACCTCATACATTTTAAGCAGGACAAGTCCTGCCCCTGGGGAGGAACAAGCCCAGGCACTGGTACAGACACTGAAGGCCACTCAGCTGGAAAGCAGCAGAAAAGAGCCTGAGGGAGCTGTGGTGGACACCCAAGTCAAACATATGCCAACAATGTGCTCTTCTGGCAGAGCAGGCAACGATATCCTGGGCTAGTATTGCTAGCAGGTCAAGGGAGGTGATCCTTTCCCTCTTCTTTTCACTGTTGAGGCCATACTTGGCCTTGTGTGTTCTGGGCTCCTCATTATGAGAGAGGCATGGACATACTGGAGAGTATCCAAAAATGATGAAGGGACTGGAGCATCTCCCAAATGAGGAAAAGCTGGGAGAGCAGGGACTGTTTAGATGGGCTTTACACAGTGGCTGTTGCTTGTGCACATTAGGTGAGCGTGCCTCACTGGAGCACAGGTTAATTCACTGAGAAATTTGTCTGGATTGATTTGGATTCATTGCTTTATGTTACGTCCTAGCCCAATGCCACTGCCCAGCTACGGAAACTTTGCAAAATCAAGTATATTTTTTGAAAGAGCCTAATGCCAGTGTTTAATTATTAGTACTTGTAACTAGATGAGGCTGGCAATGGCTTACCTAGGTGATAATGGTAGGTATTAAAAGTTCCTACTTCCCTTTGAACCAAAATCTGATGACCATAGAATGATTTTTTAATAGGTTTATACCTAATTTAATTGCAGAATGTATTTTCTTAGGCAGGCATTTTACTCATTCTGCATAGAGACAACTAATTATGGATTTGCTTTTCAGTGAAGCAGACATATACCCGCAGTTTAACGTTTTATTTTAAGAAACCTCACCAGTAAAAAATACATGTGCAAAGCATCCATTGACCTGCATCCAACCTCTGAAATGGGCATATATGCAGTGCTGCCAATGGGGACGGTTATAGGAAACATAAAATAAAATATTACAGTTAAATCTGAGACAGAGAAAATAGGTGTTGAAAATAAACCTGCATGCACATTTAAGAACAGTGCTCTGTACTGTTCACCAGCCACTTACCTTTAAACAAGTTAGTAATTTATAGATAACAGGCAGGGGTTTGTATGTATAGTCAGTTCCTGTTCTCAGCAATTAAGAAATGATCCTGACACTTACTTGTGCTAGAATTTAATTTAATTCAGGAAAGAATGGTGGCTAATAAACAGGTACCTAAGACTGAGATTTTACTAGGAGGCTGGCTAGCCTGACTTCATTTTCAAATCACATCTTTACCTAGATTGGAATTAGTTTTCAAAATCCTGTCAAAATTACTCAAATACAACTGTCAAAATGCCATTACTGCCATGGCTGTCCTCTTTGAGGAGCCAGGTCTTGTTTACCTTGTTCAGCAGAACTAACAAGCCATTTTGTTAAACTACATGTGACTATGCAAAGATTTTTGCTTTTTTTCTTTTTGATAGAGAAGACTTATCTAGACAAGATGCAGTTCTGGCCTGTTCTGCACTGAAGAAGATGTATAGGCGTGTATTAGTTAATGGAGCATCTGCAATTGAACCAGAGCAACCAGGAGAAAAACCACCACTAAAAATCCTCTTTGTTCATTTGGATGGGCCTATAGACGTCATTGCGGGGCGCCTGGAGAAGCGGAGAGGTCATTTTATGCCACCTGAACTTCTCAAGTCTCAGTTTGATACTCTGGAGCCTCCTAGTGCACCAGAGAACTTCATTACTGTCAGTCTAGAAAAACCCTTCCCTGAAATAGTGCTAGAGATTGAGCGCGCCATTCTTCAGGGTGAGGCATTGGTGGAGTAATTTTCTGAATGACACATATAGAAATTCCCTTGAAGATATCAAGGTTATGAAAGAGGATTTTAATTATTAAATTGATTATTAAATCAACTTATTATTCATTATACTTAAATGGACTGCAATATTAAGAGCTGGTTTACTACTCTTGGGTTTTTTTCATCAGGGCTCTGTAAAAGACATAAAAGGTATAATTTTCAAGAAGTTTCAACTTTTTAAACTCTTCACTGTATGTAGTCAAAACTCCCATTCTAGTAAGAGCCTGCTTTTGAAAATCCTACCAAGGGTCACAGAGAATAATTTATTTTCTTAATTTTAATATTTACTCCTTCAAGACATGGAGATGGGCACATCTGCTATTACGAGACTAAGTAATTTACAGCTTTGCTAGAAACAATATATTTTTCTAGAAGAGGCAGGAACATGCATAATGAAGTTCCTGACACTACCACTGTCTCACTGCCAAATTTTCAACAAGTTGCAGCCTCTGCGTTTATGACCTCGCTGACCTCACCAGAGCACCGATGACTTCATGAGAACTTTCATGAACTCTTACTGTATGCACTGAAAACCAAGGTAAAAAATGTGAGAAAAAAAAGGCAGTGGTGGTGATGCAATATACAAAATACAATTGTATGGATAACTTTGGAAATAAAGTGTAAGTGGCATCATGCTGGCTCTGAACTTGCATCCTTAATATGCAAAGTGTACACTTTGAATTTGTGTGTGAATCAACCAGTGATCTAAGGTACTGAATGCAAGATTGATAGATTTTCTTTTAGAAAACTTACTCTTTCACTGTTGGACCTTCTCCTTCACTTCCCTTTTCTGGTGGGCTTGAGTCTTCCACCTCAGCCCATGTCCATACATCTGCTTTAAAGCTGTAGATCAAATTATTCCTAACATATGTTTTTCACACCCTTTTTGCAATCAGAAAATTCCAAATACACAGTTACCTAGCTCACAGAATTTCAGGTTAAAATTCTTTTTATTGCTGAAAATATTTTTTAAAAAGTACTTTATGTCATGTTACACAAGAGGTGTATTTTTAGCTTAACTAAATGAAATCTTCAGACAGTTTCTGTGAGAAAGATTTGAGTTTTGTCTGAATGAAGACATCCCCATGTGCTGTCAGACGTGGATTACTTTTAGTGTGTCATGCAATTTTTTTTATTCCTAGAAGAATGGATGAGCTCCTCTAGAAGCAAACTCATGTTTCAAAGCATCTTTAGTGTCATATTTACCTGGATAACTAGTTGAAAAATGTTTGTCTTGGTTCTCACTGTGTCTACAAATAATAAGGGCTTTGTGGTTTACTAGACAAACTACTGTGCTTAAAGCAGTGCAATAAGTGGGCATTATCTTTCTGAAAGTGGCCATTTTTAGACACAGAATTGGGATTGTAGGCATTTATGCACCCACCCAGAAGTGGTCTTTTCCTGTTTGTTTGTGACCTGAAGGGAGAGAGAATACCAGGCAGTTACCAGTTTTAGTCTGCTGTTGTACACAGCTTGCTCTCAAATCAGAGTCTGTTTGTTTTGAGAGCCAGGGTGCAAGTTTAAGACACAGAGGCACAGTTAAGTGGAAGAGACAAGCATGTCTGTCTGCTTCTTAACACCCTCAAATTTCAGACCCCTTCAGACCAAGTGACTTGTCAGAACTGTGTTTAGTAACAATGAAAATCACAGAAACAGCACCCTCTTGTGGCACCTCTGCTTTTAATGAGGTCTTCGTGATCACCCAATACACCATTTTACAAACGAAGAGCTTTCCTAATGTACCCGTTATTAACTACAGATTTATGCACACTTTTGTCAGACTCAGTAATAACGGATCAGGACATTCCACAGCGATAGGAAAGCAGCTACATCCTGCCATGCACAGATACAATGAGACCTTTAAACATTTTTTTTTTTTTTTAATGGGCAACATTTTTAAGTGTGAGTTCTGAGAAGGCAAGACTAATTTTAAGATCTACTTGTCAGCATTTACAGCTGTCACGAACAGAATATTGTACTCAACCGTTAGAAACCATTCTCTTTTAGGGAATTTTATGTAAGCGTCTTGGGTTTTGTAAGTCTTCTAAACAAACTAGGTAATGTTTGCACTTACAGGCAGTTTATGCTGCTTCAAATTAGGTCAGGTATTTCTCACTCTTCTATGCCATGAATATTTTCTTCCCTTAACCTTTTAATATATTTGCATTTTGCTTTTACTTAAAGATACTGTGTAGAAGGTTGTTGTGAACTTAATCAGTTAAATAGTCCATTACGTGCTATTCTGAAAGACAAGCATTACTTCTGCTCACTTATACCCTGTGCATCACAAATTAAAAGATTAAGATGTGACTTATCCCAATATTAACCACATAAAGCTACTCTCAGATATTAATGAAGCTGTTCATGTGTACAGTAGAAGAAAAAGATAGCAGAACAATCCCTGCCCAAACACAATCCTACACCATTTCATTTACTTGTTTGGTTTAGTTTGGTTTTTTGTTGTTGGTGGTGGTGGTGAGAGGTGTTCTTGTTTGTTTTGTTTTGTTTTTTTAAATGAACTTAACACTATATTAGGGATGTTGTATTCAGGTTAGTTGGGCAGGTTATTATATTTAGCAGAGTTTATCTGGATGCAAGTGCTCTGTTCGTATTTTGAAATATATTTAGCAAATGCAACAAAAACTGAGGAGGAAATACCTGGAGTTAGAGATTGCGTTTTCTGTCTCTGAGCACAGAGTATCTATGGAAGGTACACGTACTATATGTCCTTAAAAATTTGTGCTAAGCATAGTTCATAACATGATGTGTAAAAACATAGTTCATAACATGCTGTGTAAAAACAGCACATTTTTCAATGCTAAAATGAGGAAATTAAATGCCATGTATCCCATTGACAGTATGCATTTATACATTAAACACAGTAAGAGTAGAGTTTTATTAAACTGCACAAGTTATACAGGCAAGAGGAACAGACCAGCTACCTGCCACTGTAGCCCTAAATTGCGAAATAATTTTATTATTTTTTATTAATAATATTTAGTTTATTATGCAGTCTCTGAACCAAGATGAGAATTAGGCAGACCACATCCTTTACCAAACTAGCCATCTTGCTGTTCACATTCCCAATAGTGTTTCATTTGAATGCACGCATTTTAAATCTTTTCAGTTACATCTGCCAGTCACACTACTGTGACTTTTAGATTTTTTTTCTTTTTGCAGCAGTTACTTTCTCTAGCAGTAGTTTGATGATCAGGCAAGGCAGTTTTGCAGACAATCTTGTCAGGCCACTTGGTCCAATGTAGGGGAAGAGAAGAAAGCAGGAAAATAAAGAGACAACCTTCAGGCACACATGCCCTTCTGGTCCAAAATGCAAGCTGCAGATTTCAAATGCAAGTTATTGAAGTGCTCAGAGTTAATTATAAGGTTGCTCCTGAAAGAAGAAGTAGTTGATAACTCTGAAGAGAGAATTTTAAAGAAGGACAGAAAAAGGGGAAACAGGGAGGGGGGCACAAACAGGAGCATTGTAATATGCTATTAAACCATTAAAGTGTGGGGTTTTTTTAATTATTAAAGATGTCATGAAAACTCTACCTATAAATCTTGTTCTGCTTGCTGTGTTTTCTGACAAAACTAACATTTTTACTATGCAAAAAATGGCTCAGTGTTTTACCACTACTTACCAGAATGTTAGTAACTGTTATTAGTTTACAATAGTTACTGATAAATATTGATTCTACATCAAGAAGTAAGCTTAGCTGAAGGCGCAGTAGAGAATTTAGGTCCAACTTCATCTCTTGATGAATTGCGATAAAACTGTATTTCAAATTTAGCATCTTTTAGATTATAACATGCAACAGAAATACATAGGTGAGCTGAATGTTGTCTCAAGAAAGTTAGCTAGTAGTATCTTGGTAAAAACCGTTCTCTTCCCACCTCACCCTCACCCTCACCATCACCCTTTCATCTCACAGTAGCCTTTTTTGGTATCATGAATTGTATTCTCAAAAAGACCCTCCTACTGAATGATGGGGGAGTCCTCACTTCTTTTATAGCAAGATCCCAGTAAGGGACACTATAAAGTCAACTCAAATTAGCTTCTTTGAAGATCCTAATAAATAGTCATTGTGAAAACAACTGTAAAAAGGTAGCGATTATTCTACAGAAACTACTTGCTGTCTATCCCTTCCTTATCAGAGTCCTGTAACCTCCCTCTGCCAGGCTGAAGGGAGTAGGTCAGAAGGAATAGAGGCAAGTCCTTGCTTGGGACAAGACCTCTTCTTGCCCACCACACCCTCCCAGGTGCCTCTGCACAATAGGTATGGGGCTCTGGATGTGGAACGTTGCTCAGTGGATGATTAAGATGATGATGACTCTCGCCAGGGATGTTATCAAGGCCAGGAAGACCTACACCTTGTATCAAGACCAGTCCCTCATAGAAGAAAAGAAGGATTACAGTGGTATATTGTTCCCTTCTAAGGGGAATGGAAGGTCCAATATGCTGGAAGGAGACTCCCCTTAGGGTAGCCTGCTGCTTCCCTGGGGCATGGGTCAGAAATGTTGCTAGGAAACTTCCTAGCTTTGTAAAATGCTCAAACTTCTCCCCATTGCTGATCCTCCATGTGGGTGGTGACAAACTCACAACATGTAGTCCAAAGGCCATGAAAAGAGACTTCAAGATCTTAGGACGACTGGTGAGGGAATCAAGGGCGCAGGTTATTTTTTTCCTCTATTCTTCCACATGCAGGTAGTGACTGAAAGAAACAGATAGACCTAGTCTATTAATACATGGTTCTGTGGTTGGTGTCCTTTTCAGAATTTTGGGTTGTTTGATAATGGAATGGCCTACATGGCATCAGATTTGCTGGCATCAGATGGGATCAGAGGCATCACCGCTCTCAAAAGGAGAGGGTCTTTGGCTGGGGGCTAGAGGGGCTCGTTGTTATGGCTTTAAAATAGATATAATGGGGGGTGGAGATATCATCAGGTTTAACAGTGATAAGATGTCAGATGACTTGCCATCCCACTTACATCAGTTAGATGCCAGAGCCAGCAAAAGATGCTCAGATCCTGCAGAGGGACTGCAAGTCAGCAGGATAGCACAAGGGAATTCCAGGCACTCCTGACAGAAAGTCAGCTTCATGGGGGGCCCAATTTAAATGCCTCCATGCTAATACATGCAGCATGGGGGATGAACTAGAGATGTGTGCATGCCTGCAGAGCAATGATCTTACCGGCATCATGGAAACACAGTAGAAACTCCTATGACTGCAATGCGCTGGAACGGAAGGATACAGTCTCTTAAGGACAGGCAGGGAAGATGAGGAGGTGTCAACCTCTCTGCCGATGACCAGCTGGAGTGCATGGAGCTCCACCTCAGGAGAGACTGGGGAGGACCTGACTTAGAGTTTATGGCTCAGGATTAAAGGGAGGGCAAGCACAGGTAACTTTATAGTGGAGCCTGCTACAGGCCACCTGACCAGGAAGATGAAGCTGATGAGGCTCTGTAGACATACAGGAGCAGCCTCACATTCACAAACCCTGGTCCTCATGGGGAACTTCAGCCACTCTGACATCTGTGTGGAGGACCAGGCATAAGACATGTAAGCATGTTTTCTCTCAAACATTCTGACTGGTGCAACAGGACAGCTGTGATTGGAAGAGAATCCTGCATCAGTCCTGCTGCTG